AATATAAAAGTTGGGGGGGGGGGGGGTCATGAATTGAACAAATTTGAATCTACATTATCTGAGGATGCTTCCATTTAAATATGACCAGTCATGGCTTTGGTGTTCTTGAGTAGAAGATTTTTAAAGATTTAACCTATGTATTCTTATGTAAAACTTTGATCACCCATTGTGGCCCAACCCATCCCCTAGTGGTCATGTTTGAACAAACTTGAATGTACACTATCTAAGAATGCTTCCATATGAATATGAATATGCATATCATGGTTTTGCTGTTCTTAAGAAATCGTTTTTTTTTAAAGATTTTTACTACGTGTTCCTATGTAAAACTTTGATCACCCATTGTGGCCCCACCCGACCCCTGGGGGTCATGATTTGAACAAATTCGAATCTACACTACCAGAGGATGCTACCATATAAATATGACCAATCATGGCTTTGCTGGTCTTGAGAAGAAGATTTTTAAGATTTTTTCCTATATATTCCTATGTAAAACTTTGATCGCCCATTGTGGCCCCACCCGACCCCCGGGGGTCATGATTTGAACAGACTTGAATCTACACTATCTCAGGATGCTTCCACGTAAATATGACCAATCATGGCTTTGCTGTTCTTGAAAAGAAGATTTTTAAAGATTTTTCCTATATATTCCTATGTAAAACTTTGATCGCCCATTGTGGCCCCACCCGACCCCCTGGGGGTCACGATTTGAACAAATTTGAATCTACACTATATGAGGATGCTTCCATGTAAATATGACCAATCATGGCTTTGCTGTTCCTGAGAAGACGATTTTTAAAGATTTTTCCTATATATTCCTATGTAAAACTTTGATCGCCCATTGTGGCCCCACCCGACCCCCTGGGGGTCACGATTTGAACAAACTTGAATCTACACTATCTGAGGATGCTACCATATAAATATAACTAATTATGGCTTTGCTGTTCTTGAGAAGAAGATTTTTAAAGATTTTTCCTATATATTCATATGTAAATCTTTGATCGCCCATTGTGGCCCCACCCGACCCCCAGGGGTCATGATTTGAACAAACTTGAATCTACACTACCTTAGGATGCTTCAACATAAGTTTCATATTTTCAAGCACAGTGGTTCTTGAGAAGAAGATATTTTAATGATGCCATTAATTTTTCAAAAAATTCTTAATTATCTCCCTTTGGAAGAAGGCGTGGCCCTTCATTTGAACAAACTTGAATCCCCTTTACCCAAGGATACATTGTGGCAAGTTTGGTTGAAATTGGCTCAGTGGTTCTGGAGAAGAAGATGAAATTGTGAAAAGTTTACAACGACAACGACAACGCCGACGACGACGGACAACGGACAAATTTTGATCAGAAAAGCTCACATGAGCCTTCGGCTCAGGTGAGCTAAAAACGTCAGTCAGCATTTGACTCAATGATAAATTGTATTTGCTGACAAGGTCATTGTATCGACCATAGAACTTACGAAATGATGAGTTTAAAAGAGACTGCTGATATTCTTGTTTCATCAACTTATTTGTCAATAATTTTCCTCGTTTTAGAAATTGTACATACGTAGAGCATGCTCTTGCGTATCGAATCAACTGAGAGATATAAACCCCGTATGCAGGTGATGAAGGTATATTGCTGTTAAGTAAGGGAAGTTGACGATTGAAAAGTTAGTCATCACGTTTATCATGAAGCTTGGTTGTTAAACTACCATTAACGTCTTTTTCAAGTAAAAAATCCAAATGTGAAACAGATGTGTCAGACTCTGTAGTATCTTTTATCTCAAGCTCACCCGGTTATATCGTATCGACATAAGAATGGAAATAACCATTGCTAATTGACAATACGTCGTCGATATATCTAAATGTCGAGTTGAAGGCCACAGCAAGTGTTTTCTTCTTTTCACGTACAAGATTTTGGACAAATTCTGCTTCATATGAATACAAAAAAGGTTTGCTAATAACGGGGCGCAATTGGTACCCATGGGAATTCCTATAGATTGTTGGAAGACCTGGTCTCCAAACACCACATAGATATTGTCAATCAGAAACTCAAGCATCTTTTTAATGTCAACTTCAGAGTGTATACAATCAGAATGTTTTTTAACAAAATAATTTTGCAAATGACCAATGCCAAGGTAAGTAAAGAAGATGGGCGTGTGTAACGTGTGAATTGCAGGAATAAGGCGTACGAAACATTTATAGTTTAAATGTCTACGATTTGGTCGGCTGACCACAGCTGGACATATTTTACAAAGTGACCCACATGGGAAAATTTTACATTAAGTTTGAAATACTTTGTCAAATTTAATATATCAGTCCGCTTATCTTAATAATTACTACATGTAAACCTTAGTAATGCTTCACATAAATAATAAAACCCATAGAGTATATATAATAGTTAAATGCAATTACAAATTCATGTATATATTAACGTATCAGTAGGTTGGAGGAATTGCTTTCGGTGCAACAGAACCAGAATTTATTTATTTAAAAATAAATCAGTACAAAAAATGAAAATGACAAAAAAAAATTAATGCTCCAATAATCAGTGTTCGAAATTCAGAATTATTTTCTATGGGTCCAAAGGACCCACAGATAAAGGGACTACAAGAGTCCTTTCAGGGCAGCGCAGGCCAAAAAATAATACCATTAAATATTTTGGGAAAATAAACTTTTACGTATCGATGATCTTGGTAAGTTTATCGCTTCATATGAAATATGTCAATTTAATAAAGGGTATCTACAATTCGCAAGTATTAACAATTTGAAACGGTAAGATATTAATCATCACACTGTCTTACTTGGTCATATATAACATTTAATGAGTTTGACATGTGTTTATTTAAGGAATGACTTTAATAGCTACCCAAGTTATACTGGTATAACCTGGGTTGGGGCAGTTTACGCTTTATAAACCGCGAATTAAATTATATTACTATATACATACTTTTCCTCAGAAATATAATTTCTGTTTTAAAATCCGCGGGTAAAAAATTACGCAGGTTTCAGAGATTGCCACAATATGTTGATAAAATGTAACCGCATACATATAACGTAACTTTATTCCATACAGAAAAGAAATCAAATCTTCAGTATTTATTTAAAATACACATGAAAGAAGAAATTATACGATCTTGATAAAAATAACAAGTTTTGCCCATCATAAGTCCAATTTGGTTTAAAGACGCTCATTAGACGCTCATTGGTTAATTTGTTTAATATATCCAATTAAACATGTTAAAATGCAGGAAAGATATAAAAGTTAATGTAAATACATACACCAATATACCTAAACTTTAATCGCAACTTCTTACGCCTTTCCAACAAGCGGTAAAGAAAAACAACGGTCTGAGAAGATGTGATTGACGTTAACTTATTTCCCGGCAAATCATCGGCCCAAAATTATTTCAAGGACCCATTTAGTCATACTATTCGTGAGTCCTTCCGTTTGTACGTCGGCGCAGGACTGACGGGCCGACGCTAATTTCGAACACTGTGCTCCATGCCAGGATCGAACCAAAAATATTTCTTTTTCATTGCACTGGACGAGTAACGAATATTACTGAGTTATCACTGCTACACGCCATTTAAGGTTTTAAAAGCGACAATGAACCACCGCATTTATACATTGGAATTTTTTTTTGGAAAAAGTTCATTTTTTATGGTCTTGGGTCTTCTCTCTATTTTTTACAAATGTTTGTTAGCTTCTTTGAATTAAAATGCACACAAATAACGTTTCAAAATCATGGAGAGATGACTCAGAGGTAGCAAATTTTTAGAAAAACGTATTTGAAAATGAAACATTTTGTACCAAATGACTCATCTGGCCAGTTTTCAAGTTCTTTTTCAACAATTCAAAATACAATATCGGGAAAATATTTCCCTTTCCTATTTCACAGGAACCCGATACATCAAAAGAATGCTAAAATTTCATGTGACAAGTCAATGAAATTTTCACTTTTCAAGTACCTCCAGATTTCTGCCGAATGCCAATCAAAAGCCCTCGTTCTTTACGAGTTCCATTTTTATTGAAAAAGCAGCTGTCAATGATATCAAAAAGCCTGGACTTTAATTTATCGTGGGGAATGTTGCGTATAAAGTTGAAAAGTGGTAAGTTTTTAAGCTGTTGATTTTGGTAAAATCTTAAGATTTCAAATTTTCCAAAAGTTCCTTGGAATTTTTAAGTATCCACATCTGATTTATTTCAAGACCTGTAAGAGATATGGACTTGATATTTTGCACATATATTGCTTGGCACTGTGGCATTTGTGCATTACCATGGTTACCGACCTCGTGACCCTTGACCAAAAAAGTTAAAAGAACCAATATACAGCCTATTTTTGACATTTAAGGGGTAAGTCTATGCTATTTAGCATGTGCATTGAATGTCATAAAACATTATGAAAAATACCAGCGTTACAATTCACTTGACGTTGACCTTTGACTTCTTTGCAAAAAATACCCCCGACTGTCTAACTTAAGAATTTTGAATTTTGAGAGGCGGAGTGTTGATAATTAGCATTTATACATGTTTATGAGCCCATAATGCTGTACTTTGAAACTGTATGATATTCAGTTACCACACAAACTATGAAAATACATCGGGATCGGTATCCCACAACGGATCGTGTAGAGTGACAGGTAATAACACATGTAAAATGATAAATTATTATTTATAATAATTTCAACTTAATTATTCATTTGAAGGTTGGGAATCATATTTTCTTTGATTGTCAGACTCTATCGCAGTCTTATACTATGTGTGGATGCTTTTTGTGCATTCATAAACTGTCACGCTAGTAGTAAATAAATAGCTAAGTACACTTAGATTTATTAAAATCTTTAATGAAGGTGCAAAGCAGGCGACACATGCGTTCCTTGGAACACTCTAGTTTTTTAACTGATGGTGATATTTTGCAATGGATGTATGTGTATTTTACACATGCAAATAAAAAATTGTTTTTATTTTGCGTACATAAGATATATGTAAGACTTCAAGTGAATGAGTTTGTACCTTTCCTCCAGCTTATAATCAGTCGTCGTACATACGGGGTCCATCTTGGAAGACTGTTATTATTTATCTCATTTCGATGTCTTTGTATCCATGTACGCTGTGTAATATCTAATAATTGAATTGTAAAGGTGTATTTCTTCCAATTCAGATACATTGATTAGTAGAGAGTTGATATTGACATGACAAACCTGCTGCATCACAAGGATATGTTCTATTTCCTTCGTTTGACTCCAGTAGACACTCGCCTAATGTGTCATCTGTGAAGAGAAAAAATAATGTCGCTCTAAAAACGTGGTATATACACAGATTATAATCAATGATTTTGCACTTTTTATACCCTGGTTATATCTCTGCTGTAAGTGAAAATTTTCTAATTTGGAAAATAGTTATTGTTACCTCTAATATCACATACTACAAGGAATTATTTTTTCAAAGATTGAAAGAGAAGTAAAGTAATGCCATTTAAATCAATATTTGTATTGATAAGAAGTATTTTATATATATTTGGTATTAATCTGATAATTAAGTTATCAAGTGATAAACCTCCTGACATCAACAAAATTGACATCACAAATAGTATTTCCCCTTTTCCGTTGTGAAGACATGATATTCGAAAGAGGGGGCAATAATAATGTTTCTAATTCAAGACCTATATCGCTCATCCATAACTAGATGGATTGATTGTATGTTGTTTAACGTTACATTCGAGAATTTTTCACTCATATAGAGACGTCACCATATACCGGTGAAGGGCATCAAATTTTGACCTTTATTTGGCACTCAGGACCATTGAGCAGTGAGGGATCTTTATCGTGCTAACGCCTGCCGCGACACGGGGCCTGGGTTTTTAAGGTCTCATCCGAAGGGCCCGCAACTTTCACTTCAAAGTGCCGAGCGCTTAGCAAAGGAACAGTTGCTATCCATTTTTTATCGACTTAGGTCTGTCGCGGCCGAGGTTCGAACTCATGACCTCCCGATCACGGAGCGAGCGCTCTACCGACTGAGCTACCGCGAACGGTCTCTCCATAACTGGAAAAGTAATAGTAAGATGTATCTTTAAGCGTGTAAATTGACATTTAACATGCTATAATTTCTTTTGTTCGAATCCATCAGGCTTTATTCCTAATGCATGACTTTACAATAAATCAGATAGATCCAATGACAAAGGTAAAGCACACGAATCCGGAAAAAGAACTAAGAGCTGTGTTTGTAATTTTAAAAAAGTCTTTGACAGAATATGGCACAATGGTCTCTTGTTCAAATTTTAAAAAAATGCAGGGGTAGTATCATGACAGGTGCACCCTTAGGGATCCATTTTTGTTCCCTTGTTATTCCTCACTTACATAAATGATATCATCCGTGGAATCAACTGTCTAATTAAACTGTTTGCAGAGAACACAGCCCTGTGTATAGTTGAAGAAAATGCTTACACAGCCAGTCAGATAATAAAAAACGATCTTTATAAAATAAGGGCAAATCAGTGGCTGGTCAATTTCCCCATGTATTAAAAAAACTAAAGTCTCTTATTGACAGATAATCGTTTGAAAAGGTGTATTTTCTAATGTTAGATTCTTGTGAAATACATTGATGTTGATATGGTGTTATATGGTATAATTTATGCAGCGATCTGATCAATAAAATTGAACAAATTAATGTCGAAACTGCTCGTATAGTAAGCGGTTCTACAAAACTCGCAAGTCTACAGAGCCTTTATCAAGAAACAGACTTGGAGACTCTAAAGAAAAGGGGATACATACATAAAAATGATACAATTTCACAAAATGGTTTACGGTTTAACTTCTCAATATTTTTCGAATCTTAGTCCCAACACAAACCAAGATATACATAATCATTCCACTGGACAAAATTGTCACATTAAACAAATCAAATGTTAAACAGATTATTATCGTAACTCCTTCATTCCAACAACCATCAAACTTTGGAACAAATTACTTGATGTTGTCAAACAAAATCCATCACTATCAAAATTAAAACGTTATTTAAGAGTTGATGATGCAAATCATAGACCCCCTTAATATTTTTGTACTGTCACAACATTGTCTTTGTTTTGTAAGGCTCATTATATTAAATGTATTTAAGAGGAACTTGGATTTAATTCTACAATTGGTAATCCAACTTATACTCATAGTTCCCTTTTCTAAGGAAGAAATTCTTCAAAATCATATGTCAGTTTTGAATATTTTTAATATTCCAAACCAAAATGAATTTGAATTACCATATCTATATCGGATTCCTAAACTTCATAAAAATCCTTACAAACAAAGATACATAGCGGGTTCCAATAAATGTTCAACCAGGCCTCTTTCTTTACTCCTAACTAAGATATTAACAGTAGTGAAGGAGAAACTTCAAGAGTACTGTGCAACAATATATTCGATAGGTGGTGTAAATCAGATGTGAAATCACAAGATTTTACCAAAATCAACAGCTTAAAAACTTATGACTTTTCAACTTTATACACAATCATTCCCCACGATAAATTAAAATCCAGGCTTTTTGATATCATTGACAGCTGCTTTTTCAATAAAAATGGAACTAGTAGATTTACTTACCTTGTCATTGGTCATTTGCAAAATTATTTTGTTAAAAACATTCTGATTGTACATACAAGTATTCTGAAGTTGACATTAAAAAGATGCTTGAGTTTCTGAATGACAATATCTATGTGGTTTTTGGAGACCAGGTCTTCCAACAATCTGTTGGAATTCCCATGGGTACCAATTGCATCCCGTTATTAGCAGACCTATTTTTGTATTCATATGAAGCAGAATTTGTCCAAAATCTTGTACGTGAAAAGAAGAAAACACTTGCTGTGGCCTTCAACTTGACATTTAGATATATCGACGACGTATTGTCAATTAACAATGGTTATTTCCATTCTTATGTCGATACGATATATCCCGGTGAGCTTGAGATAAAACATACCACAGAGTCTGACACAACTGTTTCATATTTGGATATTTTACTTGAAAGAGACGTTAATGGTAATCTAACAACCAAGCTTCATGATAAACGTGATGACTTTAACTTTTCAATCGTCAACTTCCCAATGCAGCAATATACTTTCATCACCTGCATACGGGGTTTATATCTCTCAGTTGATTCGATACGCAAGAGCGTGCTCTCCGTATGTATAATTTCTAAAACGAGGTATATTATTGACAAACAAGTTGATGAAACAAGAATATCAGCAGTCTCGTGTAAAGTCATCATTTCGTAAGTTCTATGGTCCATACAATGACCTTGTCAGCAAATACAATCTATCATTAAGTCAAATGCTGACTGACGTTTTTCATACTAATTGTTAGGCCATTATTTACACACTGAATTGTCGACGGATTTTTCTGTTATTTCCTGATCATGACAAGGAGCACACGGCGGGTGTGACCGGTCGGCAGGGGATGCTCACTCCTCCATGGCACCTGATCCCACCTCTGATGTTTTGGAGATCCGCGTTTGCTCTGCTCCTATTTTGTAATGTTTTATGGACTTTTGATTACTGTTCGTTATCTCCATATATTTCATGGTAAACATATGGAACAAATATTGCACACAAGATTACGACTTGGCTGTGGCGCACTGAACAGTCATTTATTTTCCAGAAATATTTTAAATCGCCCTAAGTGTAATTGTGGCAAGATTGAACCTCAGGACATTTTCTTCTGCATTGTACTTATTTTGAGGGTTCCAAGAAATAGATTTTTTTTCACTCTTCCCCATTACATTAACACTAAGATATTGTTATTTGATGATCTTAGCTTCCACTGGCAGAAAATATTTCGATTTTTTCAATCAGTCCAGAAATATATAGTAGCTACTAAGAGATTTGAAAAGCTAGTTTTTCTACAGTATTTATACACTACGTCCTTCACGGGTACGTGTGTACATGTATAGTATGTTCTTAATTTGTTTGTAGCAAGCGTCTTGTTTTCCTTTGTATAAATATGATTCTGAATCTGTATCATTAATGCATTGTATACTTATAATATTACTTTTCCTAATTCTACTATTTTCGTGTTTTTTTTTCTTTGCGACATTCAATTATTTTGTTAAGCTGTAAATTTAGTAAATTATATTACTGTTACTTGATATGTTGATTTTTAAATTCAACATATATGTACAATTTCAAACTCTATTTTTGTATTATAAATCGTTTCAAGCCGCATTATTCTGAACTTCCCAATAGGTTTCTGCTACTTCAACAAATAATCAGGAGACGGATTTACATGAAATATATGGAGATAACGAACAGTATTCAAGTTCATAAGTTTTCAAATCTGTTTTCGAATCCTGTTTGATCTTTACTTAATAAATGTACTGAATGGTTGTAATTTGTAAATAAAATATAGTTAAATTAAGACATGAGAAAAAAATTTTCAATTTTGCTATCTCTGTACGATCTGATTGATTTTGAGTTTTTAACGAATTATATCTTTACATCATTTTCAGCCACTCGCTATAGATTATCACAGACTACCACTAAAAACAAGTGACACCATTTCTTAATTATTTATTTATTAAGCTTGGCATCATATGGCCACGGCTGGTTGCAAATCAATTATTTAAGATACATGTGTTCAGTGGGTGCCGACCCAATTGGTTTTTGGCACACCTCCAATCAAAGCAAACAATCAATCAATCAATCAATAGTAACTGTACACATGTCATTTTTTACACTATAAGACTGGCGTTTGCTTTCCAACTTTTGCGGTGCGCCAGCCTTATAAAACAATATTCAATCAATCAATCAATATTCAATTGAATCAATCAATATCAAGTTCAATCAATCAATCAATAAATTTATCAATTCAATCAATGAATATCCAATCAATTAATGAATATTCAGTTGAATCAATCAAAAAGTTTCAGTCCAATGAATCAATCCATTTTCAATAATATCAATCAATATTAAATCAATCAATCAATATTCAATCAATCAATGTTCAATCAATCAATGTTCAATCAAATCAATCAATCAATCAATGTTCAATCAATCAATGTTCAATCAATCAATGTTCAATCAATCGATACTCACTCAATTCAATGAATTGTAGTAAGTTTATGTTTAAGCCAAACAATATTTCAATTAATCAATCAATGTTCTGTGTTAATCATCAAGTCAATTAATTGTTTTCCATCAATAAGTCATCCACATAATCAAGTTGCACTTGCACCCTGTTAACAGCGACGCGAGTCAAGATGATTTGTGTTAAGCGCTATATGATGTATCTCTCCAACTGGCTCTTCGT